GTGAGTAGTGTGTGTAGTGTGTAAGTGCAGGGGGTGTAGTGTGTATATACAGGGACGTGTCTTACACGAGGCAAACAAGGCATCTGCCTTGGGCGTCACTTTTCAGATCCCTTGCTTGCCTCGTGTCCTGGGGGGGCTCAAGACCTGACCAGCTGGCCACTTTTGAGCCCCCCCTCCCGAGGCGGGCGGCGGGTGAGCATACTCACCTGAGCGCTTCATACAGATGCACAAATATACACACTGACACCTACACACACAGATACACATACACTGACAACATACAGATACACAGACACATACTGACATATATACTAACAGACACATACAGTGACAGACATACTGACAGACACACAAACAGACATACTGACACACAAACACTCAGACACACTAATACAAATGCAGATACATACACTGACAGACATACTGACACACATGCACACTAACCCACAAACACATACACTGACAGACACGCACACTCAGTATGTCTTTCAATGCATGTGTGTGTGTGTTAGTGGATCTGACAGACACACTGGCAGACATACTGACACACACTCAGACACTTAGTAACACACACATAGACACACACACAGACAGACATACTGTCAGACACACTGAAAGACAAACTAATACACAGACACACTCAGACACACTAACACACACAATACACTGACAGATATACTGACATACACACTCACTCAGACACACTAACACACAAACACACACAATACACTGAGAGAGATACTGACACACACACTCAGATACACTGTGTTAAATATGGTGTTACCGCTCTCACACTCTCTCACTCTATCATACTGGTCACTGGCATTTCAACATGGCAACATGGCAAAGAACTCTGAGGATCTAAAAAAAGGATTGTTGCTCTACATAAAGATGGCCTAGGATATAAGAAGATTGCCAATACCCTGAAACTGAGCTGCAGCATGGTGGGCAAGACCATACAGCGGTTTAAATATATGTGTATTTGTACGTTCTTACTTCTTACTTAATATCTATATACACTTAATTATATTATAACAATATAGCAGCAAAAATAAAATATATATATATAGT